GGCTCAAGTACAGCTCATTACTCTCCTTGGGTCACAATTTTCATAGAGTTGAAACAAAATCTTAGCAACTTACCGCAATTTTCAAACACCTCCAAAGATTGCAGCAAAGCAATCAATTCAGTTTATCGCCTCAAGCTAACCACCACTACCCCCCTCTAACAAAATAACATATCTAAAAGTATGGGTCTTGAGCACGATATTTAGTGGAGTGATCAAAAATTCAAAGTCAAGTACCAGAAGTTCAATTAAATGTGGTAACCCATTAAATCAATGTTGTAAATAGCTCTTGTAAAATGTTATTTTTGGAAATATTACTATAAAATGTGAATCTGTTTTTAAAGACTCATCAAGGAAACAGTTGCTTTCCTGCCTCAACCATGCCTTTGAACTGATGTTCTATGCAGCAACAAACTTTATAATTATTCACAAGAAAGGATCAACATCAAATCAAAACACCTGATCCACCTAGTTGATGCCATCCAACAGTAAATGGCACTTTCTACGCTGATCTGTCATGTGCTACAGTGATTTCTTTACTACCCAAACAACTGTCACAAATTCAATGAAAGCAGACACGCAAACAGAACTGGACAATGGATTGGGGAATCTCTTAATTATCTATTAAGAAGATAATAGCAGTAGCTCTGCTACAGCACACACTACAATAATGCTGATAACTCATTTTTGCTCTACAGCTTCAAATGGCTCTTTGGTTATTAACATTTAAGAGTTACAGAGGCTGAGGGATGACTTTATAGATGTTTATAAAAACAGGAGGGGCATGAATAGGGTGAATAGTCAAGATTTTCCCAAGGGTAGGAGTGTCCAAAACTAGAGCGTATAGACTTAAGGTAAGAGGGGAAAGATTTAAAAGGGACCTAAAGGGCAATTTTTTCATGCAAAGGGTGGTGCGTATTTTGAATGAGTTACCAGACGAAGTGGAGGAGGCTGGTACAATTACAACATTTAAAAGGCATGTGGATGGGTATATGAATAGGGAAAGTTTAGAGGGATATGGCCCAAATGCTGGCAAATGGCACCAGATTAATTTAGGATACCTGGTTGGCATGGGTGAGTTGGACCAAAGGATCTGTTTCATTTTCATGCTGTACATTTACATGACAAAAAATACTCAACTGAATAAAATCATTATTTTGTAAAGGGTACAGCAAAATCATTATAAATTTAGTTCTCTCATTAACGGCAACTTTTGTGCCAGTGGTGGTGAAAGGGACTCGTGTCTGCCTACCAGACCCATTGTGGAGCACTTAACAAAAAGGACTGTAAAGTTGAACACTTTTTCTTTATTTCTTTATTTTTCTACCTTCATATTTTATGTTTTGGCTTATTTTTCTGTGTTTTAAGGTGGCACCGGGAAGTGGCAACATTATTCAAAACATTTCACTGTATTTCTAACAAGAAATTTTTTTTTGGTTTTCCCGTGCTCTGTGGCGTAACAATAAATAAGTCAAATCAGAAATCGTAATATTACAATAAAGCATATTTAATTTCAAGATCACATCACTAGCTGTGAACTTCAAAATAGTGCATCTGAAAAATAGCTGATTAAAGTGTTTGAATTATAATATTAGAAGAATGGGATAATTTCAATAGGGCTTGAATAGCTTAACAATGTAACAACAGGAACCATATCCTATTTAACAATATTTTTACTCCAAACAAAATCAATGCATACATTCTTTATTTTTAATTTTATTATTTTAATTTAATGGTTTATTATGGTACACAAAAGGATGAGTAAGGGATAAAACAACAGTTTTTTTACTCAAAATGCTATGTTCATCTGAATCTATTTTTACACCATCACTCAGCTCTCAACATCAGGATTTGTCATACACCTTATATAAGCTACACTACAGTTCCAATTTCAGACTTCACCATTAAGTAATCACTGCTAGAGTTATCAGGAGTAATACAGAATAATGCCACTGAAAGTTCTCTGTCATCTTAAGCATCAGAAACATTGTTTTGATAACTGGACATAATTCAAAAACAGGTGGGTTTGGGTCAGATGGGAGCTTACAGTTTTTAGGAATGTTAGCACCTAATTCAACCCAACCACTTAAAGTTTTAATGGAGATGACAGCATGTGAATGATGACTGCCAACCTTCTCCCAGGAGATAGGTAGCCTCATTAAAATATTTAAATGAGTTTGTGTCTCAAATATTATTTTTTCTCTTTTAACACTGGTTGGCCTGGTTTTTTCAAGCAACGGGAAACCCAGTAGTTAAAAGAAGAAAAGGGCCACTGCAGAAAGAAGTAGGTTTACAGTACTGTTTCCAAGTCAGGAAAAATAGGAAACCTTCCTCCTGGGATTTATAAGGAAACCTGTTTTCCACTGCAGGACATTCAGCACTCATAATCACAACACTCTAAAGCTCCATCTCTGTTTGCAATCTCTCTCTGATCTATATAACTTGACATACTGTACCCATCACACCCTCCACTAACATTCTCCATCACAAAGGGAGGAAACCTACCTGTTCCTGTACTGCATCTTCTTTTGGAGTACTCCCCACCCAAAAAGGAGCCAAAACTATAAATCTGACTGGCTTCTGATTTACCAGTTTTTCTAAATTACAGTTCTGCAGTATTTGAGGAAGCCCAGCTTCCGAACCAAATATTTGCCCCCTTCCACCCCATTAAACATCGCCTAGGCATCTTAGACAGTAAATACTGCAGTCTCTAAACCTAGGAGAGCATGGGAAATTCAATAGAAGAAGAAAGGTCATTTATAATGTTTTTAGTGTTATCAGGAAACCAAGAGAAAAGAACCTTAACACGAGCTAAGGGTTATCGTATTTCTCAGTGGGTAAATTGATTACCAGAGAAATTCCAGCTTTAATCTCATCCAAATCAAATTAACTTTTATCAACATTTCCTTGAAAGAAAAAGGACACCCAAGACTATGGTTTAAATGACACAGAAAAGTAGGGCTTAGAAGAAAGGTTGGACCAATGAAAAAGGGCAGGTTCATAATACTGCCATTAAGTAGAATGCAGAAAGTGCAAAGGAGATCTGAGAGAAGTATAAAATAGAGTTTTAAAAAAAACAGCAAGTGATCTAAAGTGGGCCGCAAAATTCTGCGTGAAAGGACAGTCAAGTAAAAGGGTGATGGAGATTAGGGGGCCAAGGCAACATTGCTGAGGTACTGAGGTCCTCACACGAACACATCGCAATGTCAAACTGGGGCAACTGGATAAAAGAAAATAAGGATACACTTAAAAGGCTGGTGGCTTTCCAAGTAGCAAAACTTTTTGGTTCAGGTGCGAGATGTGAAAGCTTGCTGTAGGAATGGTGGAAATAACGGAGCCTCCGACATTAGACTGATATCAAGACTTTGGAAAGGTTACACAGATATTGACTTTTAATGTGGAGAGACCTGGGAAAATGGCATTGTTTCTCTTACAATAGAGAAACTTTACAGGAAAATGTAACAATGCTCAAAATTCTGATATATTTTGATAAATAAGGATAAACAGCTTCCAAAGTATTAGATTTTAGAAAGAAGCTAGTGATATTTTCGTGAAGATCAACACAACTTTTATTTTCAACCTAAAGCCAATTATTCATAGTAAAGCCACTTCAGAACAACAGGAAATTTCCTGCATACACAAGATGTATCAGAATTATATACATTTGGAAAGAACAGCTTTACAATTTGACACACCCAAAGGCAGAGGAAATTGCTTCTCATTTCGATTATCATATCTTTCAAACAGAAAATGAAGAGACACTCAAAGTTATGAAATTTGCAAACCAAATGATTAAATTTCCAATAAGTTCAGCCAATGGTAGAACATTCAAGCAAGTCTGTCCACACAAATACCAAGTCATGAAGGAAACATTGCAGTTTTATGCAATTAAAACTGCAATAATGTTGATTGGAATGATAGAATTATAAATCTGTTTTTGATCAATGACCTACGAAATGATTGGAATGGAATAATAGAGTAATAACAACATTGATCCTTTCTTCCCTTTGTTGCCAGCATATACATGATTGAAACACTTGCCCTCCTGTCGCATGACACTGACACCTATGATATGAATACAGCATAAATTTCCAAAGGCAGAACTGACGCAACAGCAAGCAGAATTTAACCTGACTCTACATTCAACATATAGTACATTTTCATTTCAAATATTACACCAAAATGATGAGATACATTAAAAGAGGTTAAACAGAGAAAACAAAAATTCTTCTGCCATAAAATCTTCAACAGGCAATCGTTGTGCAATTCTTCTGCACAGTGGTATTCACAACCGAGCAAACAAGACATTAAAGTATCTAAATATTTATCTGAAAAATAATGCATTCTTAAATCTTATTAAATAGTTTAAATCTAAGGGAATAGAAGATTCAAGTTAAAGCTCGAAAAGAATGTGATAAAAATCAATGGGAGGGATTTCGATTGGCAGATATTTAGAAAGACAGTTTTCCTGATTCATCAGAGCTCTGTGTGACCAATAGATCAATGGACAAAACTCGCTCTCAAAATGTATTCAATTTTAACCCATCACCAGTAAAAATGACGCATATGAGGACTTATTATGCAATTGAGGACTTTACATTAGACAGAGTTAACTTATCAGCTTGGGTCCGTCCATATCTGAAGGGAAATTTTTCTCAGCTGTCCTCAAGAGTCAGGTGGAGCAGAAATGCTTCCTCCAGACTCATATTCAACCTCACCCCAAAATGCTTCTAACCACTAAGTGAACGTGAGATCAGTTGATAGGAGTCACCAACAGAGAAAATATCTGGCATAGAACTGACCTGTTGATTAAATCATTTAAATCCATCTCTTGCAGAGGCTTTTCTAAAGAAAGTCAACTAGCTTTGCACAGAACAAAATGCATTTCTATAATCCAATCAAGAAGAAATTGTAGGTTGATAATACTATTTTAAAATGGACATTATAGTAGAATGTATCAGTCTTAAAATTTAATACAAAGTATATACCATTAAATTGCTTACTCTGAGCCTGCAGCCATTTCCAAATATGAAGTCTCCGTTGTGTCGAACCCAATTGGGATCACAATGCTCATGACGTTCGCTGCTGATAACATCGACTTCTATGGAGTCCTATACATTGGCATCCAAAACACTGGGGCATGCCAGCCACAGTGCTCATTGCAAACATCTAAGTGCATTCACAAAGCCTGCAAATAACCATAAAAGTACATTAAACTGAATACCATTTATACCATTAACTTACAGTCTACCCATAGATCATAAGACAAATGATTATCTTCATACCCCATTAATAACACAAAACATTGTTAATTGCATAATACTTTGTAAAAATGGAGGCAACGCATTAACCTTTCATTCATGGGACCTAATTAACAACAGCTCAGGCCAACGGCATGAAAATCTTTCTACATTTAATGATAATTACAAAATCACTGGTATAGGTCTGACTTCACAGGGTTTATTGGGGTTGCAATTAAAAGGTACTTGTGACAATAAAATGTGACTCAAGTTGGGGCACAGCATATTGTTCCTGTGCAAAAAGGGAAAACACCAGTATCAGTGGAGCAAAGTTGTTTGTACGCTATTCCAAAATGTGCTTAATTCTCAGACTTAGAAGCATACTGTTCTACATCAGTGTGGTACAGAACTTGAATATTTTTGAAAAATGACATTTTGTTGAAGCTTTTCAATCCTGTATTCATGAGGACAACATGCAAGAATACCAATTTACAGGGGAAAGACTAAGATTTATACTGCATGAGAACAGAATGCTGACTGGTTGGCAAGTGGACTCTAATTGGTACAGGTATTGGCAGATCATATGTACTCAAATGGAACAAGTTCCAATCTTGCATACAATTATTTACAACAAATTTCCTTGCTTTCCCAAGATAAAGTCAAGTCGCAATACATACTCAAATTAACAATAAACAACATTTTTTGAATTAAAACAGAGTATGCTAGGTTGTTAAAAGTACGGGATGTCTTCTAACAATGAAATCTGAATTACGACTTTTGATATGTTGGTGCACATCTATGAAAATAGTACGCAATTTTCCAAAGTTTTATACTTGACTTATTCTTGAGAAATCATATTTTATAATGGCAGCATATAGAAATTTGCTATCTGAAATCACTATCTCCTGCATTCAAATTTTCTGAAACATGGGAAAAAAAGTTGTCCCAAAGTTTTTAAATACTTTTTATTTGCTAAATTCTATCCTGTACATGCTCATTCCAGGTTATGAACAGGAAACACTGCTGAGACTTTGCACTCACTCAATTTTGAGCTTAAAAAACCAAATCTTTGAATCAGGGCTTGATCTGACATGCCACCTATGAGAACCACAGATTCATTAGTGATTCATTATAAATGGTCATCCAGCACACACTATTTGCAATTTTTATTTGGGGCATCATATTTGAAAAAAAAAGAACCCAATTTGACCCAGGAGCCAGCAGAACTGCTGCCAATACAACGCAGAAGAGTTGGTTGTTAACTTCTGCCTTTAGTTTCCAACAATGTACATCTTTGATAATTGTGGAGGATGAGTTAATCTGAATACAACAAAGTAGGCCTGCACCTGTGGTCTAAAGAAACCTGTCATACACAAATCACATTACTGAGATCTTGTGGTGCAGCGGTGTTCTTATCTGATTATTTGTCCTCATAGTGCCCTATTTCTCTCAGTCAGAGGTTAAGCAAGAGGAAGGATAGGTGAGAACAAACATAGGATGAGTCAGTAAAGACAGAGAGGGTTGGGTGCTTGGGACAGGAGCTGGAGGCAAATGAAGGGAGGGTAGACTGGGACAAGAGGGCTGATTCGGTTGAGGGGGGGTGCGTGGAGGGAGTGGGGGGGACAGAAAGAGAGAGAGGAGAGAGAAAATACCAAAGCGATAAAAGGGAAAGAGAAAGCATCCAAGTAATCTATAATTAAAATCATTATTTTGAATGCTAAATTTTTGTATTGCATTATTCCTCTTCGTAATGCCCCATTTGTATACTGGACTTTATATTTAAGTTCATTATTTAAAAATAGGTATCTTATTGCAGGATGGTAAATTTCAAATCTGTCATAAAATGCAGAATTCTAACTGAGACCAGTGGATACAGGAGAGTCCTTATTATAGGAGATTTCATTTACTGCTGCAAGCAATAGCATTCCAGTCTGAAATCATTTTCTCAGGCTCTTTTAAACAGAAGCTTTATAACATGAATACAAATGAGCACTCTGAAAACAATAGATCTTATAAGGTCTCTAACCCTAACTGTGTCAATTCCCAGGAGTCTCAAACAGCAAACGAAAATTACACTCAACTCTCAAAAGACCAATGATTTTTCCCGAGGGAAAACTTTGCAATGTTTGGCGACCTTCAGGCTTCATACAAATATTTAATAAAATTTGCCTTGCTGCCCAAAGCCAAATGAATATATTTTGTACAGTTCAAAATTACAGACTGGACTGAGTTATCAGTCTCAATCCAGAGCACTAAACACGCAACACAAGAACGTCCTTCAACTCAGAGAATGAAGAGCTAGGTCTAAAATATACTTCTGGCAAGAAGTGAACACAGCAAAAAGTGGGGAATTCTGTCTTATAATTCAGCACCGAGAGATGAAAACCAATCTTGCAGTTGGCACATCTCTTTGTAAGGTATCTGTCTGGAACTTAGATTAAGCAGTTGGCAGCAAGTAAACCTGATACATAGGTCTGGATATCTAGAGTAACCAAGTAAATTACAAACTTTTCTAAAAACTGCTTTAGTTACCAAAGCAGATGTCAAAACAGCTGATAGAGAGAGAAGTTGCTGAAAGCCATTAGTTAATTCATAAATGTGTTCACCTATCCGCTTAATTGATTTTCAGAGTGGCATGTAGATATTAGCGAGCTTCAGCACCTTCAACTGGTGCAGTCACTTTGATGAGTCTGCCCAAACTGTGGACAGAATTGATTGCTGATCTGTTATTCAGGGAAGATTTACCAGATAACTGGAATATACAGTTTGTCTTATGAGGAAAAGGTTGGACAGGTTAGGTTTGTATCTGCTGGAGTTCAGAAAAGTCAGGATGACTTGACTGAACATAAAAGATCCTGAGATAACAAGGTGTAGAGCTGGATGAACACAGCAGGCCAAGCAGCATCAGAGGAGCAGGAAGGCTGACGTTTCCGGCCTAGACCCTTCTTCAGGTCTAGGCCCGAAACATCAGCCTTCCTGCTCGACCTGCTGTGTTCATCCAGCTCTACACCTCGTTATCTCAGATTCTCCAGCATCTGCAGTTCCTACTATCTCTGATACAAGATCCTGAGCGGTCTTAACAGAGTATTTTTGTAGAGGATGTTTCCTTTCATGGGAGAATCACGAACTCGGGATCACTGTTTAAAAATGAGAGGTTGGCCATTTACAACAGAGACGAAGAAACATTTTTCTCCCCCCACAGAGGGTCATGAAAAGGTGGGTCGAAGCAGAGTAAAAGAGGCTGAAATTTTTATAAGGCAGGGATGAACAGATTTTTGGTAAGCAAGTTTCTGAAATGTTACCAGAAATGCAGATTTCAGGTAACAATCAGATCAACCATGGTCTTAGTAGGTGGTAGGGCAGCCTTGAGAGCTGAATGGCTTACATTTGCTTCCTATTTGTTTGTTATCACTATACTTGTCAAATTTTAAGTTGTGCTGTTCATCATGCCCTTTACCTCTTTCCACTAGTGGTAACTTAAATCTGCACTCATCGGTTGGTTAAGGACCACCCTCTGCGCAAGTAAAACAGAAATGGAATCTTTCAAAGTGATTGCAATGTAACTTGCAATGACAGAAGAGTCCATCGTTTATGGCAGATAATGCAATCTATTACAAAAGCCAAGCAAGTTCAAATACTCCCCAAAACTTCTGATAGTTGATCAGCCTGGTTAAGTGCAGTATAGACTGCATACTAGAGTCAGATTCAACTCTAAATAATTCCACTTACCAATGCTTTAACAGATGGTTGGAGAAACTGCTTAAATTAATCACTGCTTTACATTAATGAAAGTGGAATGTCTCTCTCCTCCACCTCCCCTCCCCCGACCCCCGTATTAATCTCCAGCACACTTGGGGTCATCGTGCCTTAGCAAAGTCATCTGAACTTGAGAAATAGGATAGGGATTACCTTGATAAATCGGAACATCTGGATTTCAATGCTGTTTAAGACCAACCAACTATTTCAACACAAATTATTTATCTGTTAACTAGAGAGGTTTCAGAACATCCAGAAAATGTGAAATTGCTTCACTGACTCAGTACAGACAGTAAGAAATCCTAAATCACTCAGCCTCTTGTTATCCATATTTTTGACTGCTGTCATGGCAAATACCGGCTGGAGACACTTTCAGAGTTAAATTCCTCTGACAAGTATTTGTACAAATGGCTTACCACTGATCTTAGGAAGTGTCAATAGCAAACCACAAGTATACATGTATTTCAGTTATACAGTTCAACAATAAATGTAAATTTTTACTAGGGGTGATTTAAATAATTTGTAATTTAAAATTTTTGAATGCTGTAAACGTAACATTGCAATTGTTAAAATCTGAGGTGACTCAAGAGTACATTATCATTGAGTACATTTAAGACTGAGATAGATAGGTTCTTGATTATCAAGGGGATCAAGGGTTACGGGGAGAAAGTGGGAGAATGGGGTTGAGGAACTTGTCAGCCATGATTGAATGGCGGAGCAGACTCGATGGGCCATATGGCCTAATTTCTGTCCTATGTCTTACGGTCCTAAGAATTAACTATTCAAATATTCACCTCGTCAGTTTCCACCCTGTAAACTTGAGTCTGCCCAAAGCCTTTCTGCCAAATTCTTCCTCCACATCAAGTTCCATTCACTACTAATTCTGTCTTTACCAACCTACACAACTACCTGATCCATCATCAGTTCCAACTGTAAAGTTTTCCTAGACATATTTATGCCTCTTTATGGCCTCACAAACCTGTCATGCAGATACATGTCTCTAGCTTGATTATCCCCATAACTTTCAGTTATTTTGACCTCTAATATAGCTACCACTCTCTCTCTGGGGCATGTGCCACCACACCTTCAAACAAAAGCCTATGTCCTGACCATTCTAGAATTCATCTACAATGTTACTCTTCTCCTTAAAAAAATGTATCCTTCATCAAACTTCTGCTTGCCCCTCCTACTG